ACGTCTTTTTTGTGAACTTAAATTTCCAAGTTTTGAAATATAAGAAATTAGTGTTATTTGTTCTGAGAACAAAGACCATCAGCACTTTTTGCTTCTAACATCAAATTGTTGTCCACTAGACTTTTAAGTTACTTTAGTCACTTCTTGTTTGGGAATGTTATCTATTATTTACAGTTTGTAGTCCAGTGTTATGATAATAATTATTTTGGATACTGAATTCTACTGTCTTTGATATATAGACCTTAAGTTCCGTTGTTAATATTGAATGATTTGGGTCAAATGTTTGAATTGAGGAATTTTCATTACTTTTCTAAACGGTGTCATTCACACTTTAAATTTAGATTAAGTGTGTAAAAATTACTTCACAAATCCTAAAAGTATTCCTTATTTATAAACTTTGTTTGTCGTTCGATTCTTGTTCTTGATGACTCTTTGGATTTTTATTGTTAGGCCGATCTCTAATCTGATGTGACTGATCAATATTGGGCTTATCGGTTAATAGAATAAGTCTTTGCTGACATGTCTGTTGATCTCATATTGATACAAGTATTGTTTTTATAGGTAATCTCTAAAATTTGAGAAGTTTCCTCGATCATTTATGGGGTACCTTAGTATTTCTTACTTGTTGGTAAATAACAGTGATGTTCAAGAGACTCTATAAGTTCTTTCCTGGGAACACTAATAAAGGTAAACTGAAATGTTAATCTTAATTTGCTTTTTCAACGTGTTTAATAAATCCCTAATTGATTTGATTGGTATCCGTATACTGATGTTCTTCAACCTGACAATTTGGTTTGTAAGTGAAATCACCTTGAGATCATAATCTTATAACATAATGTATTTTCCTTATACTTATAATGATGATTATAAATAATTTCACTTCTAATACCCTGTTGGATACTCATTGTTTCATTTCTTGAATATTATAAATAATGGGAAGTTACAAACCTTTACGTTCTGTTTTCTAAGTCAAATGATTTAATTATCAAATTGTTATTGTCGTTCTAGACATCATCAGCTGATACTTCGTTTAGAACTGAACTTTTCAGTTCATGTTGATGACTTGGTAGGTTTCGTTATCTTTATTCGTCCTTGCATTTCTGTTAAACTCTGATCATGTGATTGGCTAATCTTTAGCGTGTCGGTTAATAGATTGGAACTATATTAATATGTCTACTGATCATCGATTAATTTCAAATATCATTCTTCTAGAAATTCTTCAATATTCTTAAAATTTCTTTGGTTCGAAATCTCTCTGTTTCATTAGTCATTTTGATTTTATACAAATTAAACATTGACAAATTTGTGCGTATAATTTCACTGTTGTTTTGTGTTTTCCAATAAATTGTTTCATAATTGTCTTAATAAAGCATTTTCAATCTTTGTGTAATGTATAATGAGACCATCAAAACGAAGAAATATTACTTGATATGTATGTTTAGTATTTATTTATTGAATCACATAAACACTGACACAAGAAGTCACCAAATATATATATATGCGCTACAATCCATCATTCGATTCGTTTGAAGACTGGAATACTGCCCGGACGTTTAATTATAGGGTTCTGGGGATTGTTGAGTGTTAATTGAGATCAGGAACCGATCAATGTTAGACACCACCATTGGAAACACTGGACTACCGTGTCGTCCTAGTATGGGACTCCTCAGCAGTGCGCATCCATAATCCTGCACATTGTTTAATAATATTAATAAAATATATCAAGCAATTAGTAATTTGCTAGATGCTAACACTACAAATCCTAGTGTTTACCAGTGCTCTGCAAAATAATTAGGAAACGTGGAAGAGGCGGTTGAATAAGGGGATAAATACTTAGAGAGATTAATTAACAAATGAAAAATTGGAATTGTTGTTTAAAGATTAATAAGGTGGTTTGATAATAAGTCCAATACAAATAACAGCTACTTCACAAAGAGTTGATATATATATATATATATCGAGAGAAAGTTATACAAACTTATTTTGTATCCATAGATCGGGGGTTTCTGGATATGGATTGCAACGGTTTCATTGAATACTTGAATTTATAATACTGATAAGATTACCTAACAGGTCACCATCTGGCTGGCATATTTTTTTACATTATTATTATTATTATTATTGAGTATTTATTAATTCAGATCCATTATGTAAAACTAAGTAGGATGAAATCTTTCCTCATTCTATTCGTCTTCACACTAAATATCTGAATGATAATTTTTCACTGTACATAATGTCTATGATACAGTAGTTTTGGTTTCTTCTTCTTTTACTACCATCATCTTGTGGTTATTGCTACAAACTACTTTTTTTTAGGAGTTTAATACAAAGGGATCTCTTTTCAACGAATTTATTATCAAGCTGTACAATCATATATAAATGAAAATATTTTGTTAAAGTACTAATTCCGTGACTATAAATTCATTGATAAGAGATCCCTTCGTCTCAAACTCCTAAAAATAGCTGAAGCTCTTACTATCCATGAGCTCAAACCAAAACTATGCGTACAAAAGAAGTACGTCTTATCATTATCGTAACGAACTACTTTTCATTATAACTTATTCCATAACATTAAAATAAAGATTGAACAAAAAGCTACACTGATTTGTGTAAAAGGCTGTTCCTTTTCAGTTTTTTTTGTTAGTAGTTTACTACTCTCTGGATGAATTGCGAAAACATGTGCATTTGATAGGTGTAAATACCTAAAACATCATGATATGTGTTTCAACATGTTTGTTTATATTTTGAGAAAAATCTTATGATATGTATTAGTTACCTATTCAGTGCACTTTTTTTTCGCTGTTGTCGTTGGTTTAATCTGCCATTTTGTACTAAATAAAAAGCACAAACCATATGACTCATCCAGTTTATGTCAACCGATAAACTGTGGACATTCTTTTTTGTTTATATTGTTGTCTGCTTACTTGTTTTTACTATAAGGAATTAATTAGTGAATTATTACATAGATTCATAAACTCGAAAATATTTTATTTATATTATGTTAAATAATAGCTGAAGTACAGTGACTTCTCGTGGCGGGGATGTTGTTTACGAAATTGAGAGGATGAAAAGAGAATGTCTATTGCTCTAACCGGATTGGTGGACACGGAAAGTCCACCTAGGGAAGTTGGAAACACTGATTCCAAATCAATGGTGCACATGGGCTAGAGTATCATGAGGGAACAAATGGCGTATGAACCAATTGTTGGTCACCGGTTACCATGGGACTACATCTCCTTACGATGCTTCACTGCCTTGTGGACTAGACCTTTAGGTCAAAGGCTCCGGGTGTGGCCTAAGAAAACCACCTGCTTCAGTCTGGGCACCTGAGCAGCATCACAGCCCTCACACAAATCGAACGAGATTTGTGAGGCGCATATTTATTTGGTGTTTCCTTGTACCAATATTTACGTATTTAAATAATAATAAAAAATCAGTTCGAGTTATTGAAAACAAAAACATCAATCTTACGAAGCTCCACTGCCTTGTAGATCAGACATTTAGATCAAAGGCTCCGGGTGTGGTCCGCTAAGGAAACCACCTGGTTTTGTTTGGGCACACAGACAGTATCTCAGCCCTCACATAAATCGAATGATTTATGTGGCGCATATCCATTTAGTGCCTTATTATACCAATATTTGTGTTTAAATAAATAAATAAACAGTGATAATAGTAATAATAATATTGACGACGACGGTGACTGTTCACTTTTATGAAATGCACATTACTGTCTCTCTCACTTTTTCCTTACGGCGTTCAATTTTTTTCTTCAATAAAGTAATTGTGTAAATGCGATTACTTTTTCGGTAGTTCCAACAATAAATTATTATAAACACAGTTTCATTGCTATTAAAAAGAAATGAATGTTTAAATGGGGCAAAGGGAAGTATTTCACTTAAAGATTGTTTATTCTCATCTTGTAAATATTTACGTGCTTATTTTTCTCAATGTCTATTAAACAGTATAAAGGTTTCATGTTGATTTAGCTTACCGGTTAAGAATATCGTTAACTACCTTTCTGATGTTGCTATTTTTGCCGAATGAGTACATGATGACTATAAAGCTATAATAACTGTACTCTTCATATTTATGGAGTTGTAAACTTTTAAGCACAATAAATGTGTATGACTTAAGCATATAAATTTAAAGCATAGGATCATTTATTGTTGATGTTAAGTTCTGTAATTAGTCAGTCTCTATTAACATATGTACGTCCTAAGCTGATTCCCACTATATTTTCTTTGAGTAGCTAGTTTTTATTAGTGGCTAGCCAGAACGTATATTGCATAGTATTTGAGACTGGTTATTCACTGAGCTACTAAGCTGAGATAACTAATAGCTTGTCCAACGGGTATGAGTTGAAGCGAAAGTTAATGGGTTTGAATCCGAATAATGAGCAATAATACTGGGATGCAGGTGCATCCAGTTTATAAGTCCCAAGTAGGATGGAATGCTTGTCCAGCACTTCACTGACTGCCTCAACCCATCTATTCTAAATAACGTTGTATGACTTATTTAAATACTAATTCGATTATTTCGTTTCGAGTAGTATCTTTATCCCTCTCATGAATGCAGCTCTATATACACGTATATATATATATATATATATATATATATATATATATATATCTGTGATAAGTATTTCCTCCTTTCACTTGAGAAATACTCCGAGTGGAGTGGCGATCCAATGGTTATGATATAAGATTTTCAGTTCCCAAGTTACAGGTCCAAACTCCACTCCATCTACTTCGACTAGGTCAACTAGGTATTATTATTAACTGTCACACGCCGAATCTGACTCAAAGCCAAGTACACCAATCCATACCACGTGGTAAATGAGTTGAATAACATAATACATCTGTTGTTGATTATCTCCCATGAGTTCCTAGATTTTTGTCTTTTCCATTATGTTATGAACTAAATTACTACTCAGTAATGAATACTTTTATGTATAAAGATTCCTGTGTGATTTAATGGATTTTTTGTTTTTCTCTCTATAGTCCATCACCACCATCTGTCCCCATAGATTCGTTCAAAATACCTGTTACAACAACTTCTGGTACATCAGTTGATAAGAGAAATTCACAAGTTTCCGATGTATTTCAATCATCATTGTCATCATCTGGTCATTCAATCCATGGAATTTCATACGAATCACCATCAGACAATAAATCTGTGTATAGTTTTGATAGAACACGAAATTCACTTATATCATCTTCAGTTTCATCCACTCTCCCGCCTCCTTTACCACCAAAAAAATCTCAACTACATAAGTTATTTTGTAAATTAGACGATCCGTATGAAGTACCAAAACATGCCACAACGGTATTAGTAACTAACACCAACACCACTACTGCCGCAGAATCAGTAACCTGTTTAACATCGTCATTATCAGCGTCATCAACAATCACACCTATTCGTTCAAAATCATCAATTACATCCACTAACGAAATGTTGTACAGAAAGAAACAATTCAATCGATTGTCACTATCACCTCAATTAGGTATGTCTTATCGTATTTATGTATGTATGTATGCATGTAGGTTCATGTGTGCGCTTGTTTATGCATCACTAGAAGGTTTTGCCTTTTACTATTTGCTATTCTTTTGACTGACTTTTTCCCCATTCGGATATTTACGTACTTGACTTTTATTCAAACTGCTGGTTTGCGAACCAACGATACTATCAGGTTGACCAAACTGATGTAGTTGGAGTGTCATTTGAATCTGCAGCTTATTTGGTGAATTTCGTACAATTTAACCACTGAGCCACCGTTCCACTTTGATATTCATTACTTAAAATAAGTATATTTTGTTCTTGTTCTTTCTACTAAATTCCTAAGGTTTATAACTCTTTAGTTATCAGCCTGCTTGTACGACTTCATATTATCAAATTCCTTTTATTAGTTCCTGTGTGTGAATAATATTTTTCTAATTCATGTTTCTGCATTGACCTTTTCCTTGTTATTTGATTGGCTGCTCTCACTTTTAGTTTAGCTCATTTTCCTGTATTCCTCCTAGGTCATTATTTGTTACGATGTGTACATTGTGGTGCGATTTCAACTTTGATCTCTTCAATACCAAGCCCATTCTGAACTATTTATTACTCTTTCTTCGATCACTTTGCTTATTTTATCGCTGAAGTGTTATGTACCAGTGATCGTGTAGGTTGAATTTGTTATTAGGAGTATATCTCAATCGTTTGTAATTAGGAGTTAGCATAGGCTATACTGAAAAATTACAAAAATTTTCATGTTTCAATCATTATTTTGATTCTTGTGAACATTGACAGCAAAATAGAACAAATTTGTTTTCGTTAGATTCCAAGCTTGTGTTCTTTCCCATCAATTCAGCTTTGTTTTCACACCCATATTATTTGATCTAAATTTAACAAAAGCAGTGAAATACATTTATATCGTTGATTGATTATGAAAAGTTTATCATATGATTAGGCAACTGATATTGTCCAATTGTTTTTGGAGTTTTACAAATTCCATTATTTGAATCATGTAGTCTTTTCGGATATTAGTGTTATCGTTTAATAAAACTGTTGACATTTATTGGCAGTTGTTCATTAGCAGAATTCCATAGTCAATTTGTTTAGTAGTGATTATTGACCTTGCTTCATATGTAAGTATGCTTACTATTCCATTTTCAGTATACATTTTAGAAGATTGATGTTTTTGTTTTCAATAACTCGAACTGATTTTTTATTATTATTTAAATACGTAAATATTGGTACAAGGAAACACCAAATAAATATGCGCCTCACAAATCTCGTTCGATTTGTGTGAGGGCTGTGATGCTGCTCAGGTGCCCAGACTGAAGCAGGTGGTTTTCTTAGGCCACACCCGGAGCCTTTGACCTAAAGGTCTAGTCCACAAGGCAGTGAAGCATCGTAAGGAGATGTAGTCCCATGGTAACCGGTGACCAACAATTGGTTCATACGCCATTTGTTCCCTCATGATACTCTAGCCCATGTGCACGATTGGTTTGGAATCAGGGTTTCCAACTTCCCTAGGTGGACTTTCCGTGTCCACCAATCCGGTTAGAGCAACAGACATTCTCTTTTCATCCTCTCAATTTCGTAAACAACACCGGTGCCACGAGAAGGCAGTGAGTAGGACTTCCCTGGCAGTGGTTGTATGCACGCGACCATGTAAGAGCATTTCTAGAAAAAGAGCTGACTTTTCCCACTCTCGGCCCTACCAGGGCATTTAAGGGCGTGCTCAACCTGATTTATTTCTTTCCATTACAATCAACTGTTTTTTTTAAAAGTCGTAAGTTGGCCGAGGTCTTCAATCCGTCAACGAATTTCTATATTAATATGTATTAATCTTATTTTGTGCAAATATAAGCAGATCAAAATCTAATATCAGTCCATTCAACCATTGACTATTTGTCTGGGCTGTGTTGCTAAATTCAGACGGAGTCCATGTGGTAATCATAATCAGTGGTTGGAGACGTTGAGTTATATGGTTTAGAATCGGTTTCTCTAGCTCAGACATATCCACTCTTTATCTTCTCTTAGATCTTGAGTGCCAAATTATTTTCTACTTTCGTGAATTCTTTATTTCTCGAACCATGTTGTTTTTTCAATGTTTATATAAGAGGTTTTGTACATATATGTCGTTTTCACATGAATAAGTGTCACAAGACATTATTCTTACATCCTATTCAAGTATATTATAGTCTTATCATTTAATACTTTGCATATAGATTCAGCAAACAAAAGAAACTATCAACTTGTCACTTTGTATATTATTAGTATGCGTAGTGGGCGTATAATTTCTGGATAAAGCAATCAGTTTTATAATAGAGACATTTGTATTTTGATCCGAAATTCATCCATCCATACGACTAAACAGCATTTTAGCACTATGGCTGTTATTATTATTATTTTATTATTCAAACGCATAAATATTGGTACAAGGCAGCACCAGATACATATGCGCCATACAAATCTCATTCGGTCTGCTTGAGGGCTGTGATACTGCCCAGGTGCCCGAACTGAATCAGGTGGTTTTCTTAGGGGCCCACACCCGGAGCCTTTGACCGAAAGATCTGATCCGCAGGGCAGTGGAGCATCGTAAGGAGATGCAGTCCCATGGTAGCCGGTGACCAACAGCAGGTTCATTCGCCATTCGTTCCATCAGGATACTGGAGCCCATGTGCACCATTGGTTTGGAATAAGGGTTTTCCAACTCCCCTAGGTGGACTCGCCTTGTCCACCAATCCGGTTATAGCGCCGGACATTCGCTTTTCATCCTCTCAATTTCGTAAACAACACCCCCGCCACGAGAAGGCAGTGAGTAGGACTTCCCTGGCAGAGGCTATATATTCGCTGGCCATGTGAGAGCATTTCGAGAGGGAGAGGTGACTCTCCCCACTCTCGGCCCTACCAGGGCATTTGGGGACGCACTATGGCTGACGTTGTTCCTAATTTCTCACACTTATTTACCACCCTATTTTGTTACTAGAAAGCAGTTGATGTTTCTCAAAGTCATTGTAGTGTATCGCTGAGAGATCCTCCATAACTTATAGTTTTGCCACTCGTACTATGTTTTGGTTAACACAAAACTGTTTTTAAAATGAGAATATGTCTATTATTAGTTTTATTATCGACTATTATATTTCTTTACTTATTTTTTATTTTGTTAAATTCAACTTTCCTCCCTAGAAATTATTCAAGATAAAAAAAGTGACTCAACTGTTCCACATGATTGGCTTGACAATAATACTGCAGTCAGTAAAGCGACGACAACGCTAGTCGATTCAATGGGATTATCCGACACAATTGATGCTATCAAACAGGATAGAACATTAATGTAAGCGTTTATACACATTTATTTAGTGTTTTGTGTGAATAACACAGATTCTCACTTGACAGTATATACTGGTGTCAGGATTGAAAGAAGTTTATCATATTAGTTTGGAGGGTTTTGTGTAAATTGTTGGGTTTTACCATGTATATCACTAACTAACCTTAGTTGGGAAACATTGAAAACCAAGAAGTACTAGATAGTTGTTTTTTCGTAATTTACGTTCACGGTTACATTTGGGATGGTGTGACGCAGAATTTTTAGGTCTCGCTGCTTGCACCTTAACCTTTAAAAAATTACTAACTCGTCATTTGATGGTTTACATTTCTAACTCCGATTAATTCGCAATATAGCACAATCGTTTGTATAGTCCCTTACTGAAATGAAACAGCTTTTCAATACTTCCTGATTTTCACCGATAATCTAACTATGGTCAGTCAATGATATAAACTATAAAATCTTTGCTATTCTTGGAAAAATTCGAGTAACTAATAAACAGATATCATTGTACTTGTCTAGAACTTTAATGGACGTTAATCGTATGACAGACTGTTTGAAATGGATTTATTAGCTTAATCGTTAAACCTCTTCAAGTGTTTTATTCGCTTTACTCAATTTAAATAATATAAACCCTAATTTTAAATTTTTAATGATGTATTAGTTTAGTTCTTTCTGTTTCAAATCTTGTATGTTCATATTTGTATATGTGTGTATGTGTGTCAGAAACAGATAAAGTGAGATTCAGAGAGTATGCGATAATTTTCAGTGTAACATATATATGTATATACCTGTTAATAAGTGAACAATAAACAAACTTATACCTTCGCATAATTTTTATTACCTTCGAATATCTATTGACATCTAAGCTATCGTTAGTCTTTTATTAGGGTTTATGATGAATATATTACTTATAAGTATATATATATTGATTGACATTTCTGAAGTTTTTCAATGTTCAATTATCAATGATAAATAGCTTCATGTTTATAGTATTTCCATTTTGTTTTATTATCAAGTGTTTATTGTCCATTATTGACGTCATTTGAAAATTTAAGCAAATTATATACGTTAATTATATTGTTTAATGTTATGTTCCTATAATAATAGTGAATGATAACTTTGGGACCCGTTTATGGACCAATATTATGTGTATATTTTTATTGTATAATTGTTAACTAACTAAACTATTCATATTCGCGTCCCTCTTATTATAAGCTTTATTTTGACCCATAGACTATTATTATGCGATTCATCATTCTTGAGTTATCCTTAGTCTATGAATTACTGCCTCCCACATTCACAACCACATTTGGCTAAATCTTGTACTAGTGTTATTTTCTATTTTATGGTGCGATGTGGTCCGTTTAATTGTCATATAAACCCAGTATGCTTGAAATAAATGATTCATACTGCAGAGGCTGAAATTAGTGTTTTGGACTTAACTGGCTGGGCTAATCAGAAGCAGGACCGACAAGTATTCTAGACTGCTCGTACAGTTGCCGTGTGTCATTGGTTCGATCGATAATTCGCTGCTCTCTGATTGACGGTCTTAACACGTCATACGTTAACAGGGCATCCACTCGGCCACAAGTTATATCATTTAATATATACTTACTGTTTATTAATTACTACTGATAGGAATGATAGTAATATGAATGCCTACACTAATGATAATAATAGTAATTATAATTACTATTATTTAATGATTATTGAACATTTTATTTTATATAGTCTCATTTGTCAGTAAATTCAAGTATTATGTTTAGATGTTGTTTTCTCGCTCTTTACACGTTTTTATTATCCCTCCTCTTACTTTATATGTTTGTGAGTGCCCCTGTTGATAGTTGTATTTACTTCCTTCATGGTTCTCATACCCTGTTCATGACAAAATCGCTTTAAATTTTAACAGATCCTTTCTTCGTGTTTTTTTGTTTTTCTGATTAGAATATTTTCTACTTTACATTACACCAGATGTATCTTTGATGTATTCACAGTATTCTTATTTCTTTTATTAAATACACATATCTCATGCCTGGACATCAGTAATATTACATCAGGTCTTTCCAGCTCTGACAAGTGAACCCTCTTCATCTAAGAATCCAGTTCAGGGATCAAAAATTAACTTTTCGTTCTTAATAGTAAGCTAAATTTCCAGACTTCTTGATGATGGAAGTGATTATTTTGTACATTAAATACAAATGACCAAGATTCAAATGTTAATAATAATATCTACAAGTAGTTGTATTCCTACAAAAAGACTTTCAGTCTCGAGTCACTATCTTATTTCAAATATCTGATTAATAGGAATGTAATTATCGATAACAAGATATGATAGTATTTCTAATGAGCAATTAGACCTTGATGCTTTAATCAGTTTAGAGAAGTGTGATTGTGATTTTGACGATGGTCATGCCATGATGTGGCATCACCCACAAAGTTATTGACTGTTGAACTGTGTCATGCAGGTAGGTACATATTGTTTAGTTGGGATCCACACGATTACTGCGATCAATAGTTTTAGAACCTGATTGACATAACGCCGAATCAATCATAGAGGTGCATATTCATTCACTCTTTGCTTCCCTATAGATCTTGAGTCTTGAAATTATTTTACTCATTTTTTTCCGACAAATCCATTTTTCTCGAATCATATTGTCCGTGGTTGATGCTCTTTACTACCACTAAATACTTTATTCGCACATCTCCCATCAGTTGTCCTTTACATCCTTCATGACTCTTCCAATTCTCAATTCTTTTATGTTTCTCTTTTTTTTCCAGTTCAATCTTCTAAACTTTCTTTTGATAGACATTCTGATTAGTGTTGCATGCTACTGATTTTCGTCGACATAAGTAGCATACGCCACACTTCTACTATAGCATTTATTTCATTTCATTATGGTGATATCGTTTGGTAACGTGAACCTATGCACATATTTATAACAAGTTTAATGTTGCCTATGACTGACTGAAGTTAGTGTTTCGCTGTAACTATTAATTAGTAATAATTTTATTCTTTCGCTTCATGGGTGATTATTTCAAAGTAATGACTCCTTTAATCTTAAACAATCTTTCTTCCTAGCAAATTGAACACTTTCACTGTCTACCGTAAATTAAATGGTAACATTTTTTATTGTCTATGTATTAACCAATGTTTAGTAAGTCAGTTAAATCAGTTGTTTGCAGCATAATAGATTTTTCATATCTCTAGATGATATTCATCTACGTATTCCATAGTTTACTTGTTAGTTTTATTTATTCTATGCTAAACTAATCTAGTTCTTTAATTGAAAAACTTTTAAAACATCTTGACATGATGGATAAAATTTACAGCTCAATTGAATTATTTTAGTGCTATTCATCTCTCTAATCTAGATAGTTTAATTGGAAAGCTTTCATTGTCGTTTTATGAAACACCATCAGTGTTTACCTTATAAAAAAGTGAGCGTTTTTTTTCGTTTTTCTATCAGTCAAATCAGTTTGTCCTGATGTCCTCAATTGTAAATGATTATTCTTGTATGTTTTACTGTCATCGGGTGTCTTTATATTCAGAATTGATTGTTTTCGTCCTATTGACATTTACTAGTGTCGCTGCCTAAATATTTTCACATACACTCTGTACTCAACATTCTGTTGTCTTATTTTACATATAAGAATTACTTTTTAAAAAACAAACTACTTACAGTGTAAATTGATTCACTTGTTATTTTTACTAAGTTATATTATCTTCATTTATTATGTATCGCTTTAATTATGGTTTTGTGTATATTGTGTTTACAATATAGTCAAGTGTCTTCTCAAAAGGTATGTACATTACCAATATCAATTTCCTTTTCCAAAATCCAAACTATTTGTTCCAATTTAGTTCAGTTGTATTCAATAGTACAATTATGATACAATGGTACAAATATGATATATATATATATATATATATATATATATATATATATATATATATTTATATATTTATATATAGATGGTAATTTATTTCTATTCCTCTTCCATTATGTTTGTTGTTGTTTGCGTTACTATAGCTACTTCGTCGTCGATCTTTTTGTTTGATATGCGACGAAGGGTGGGAGGTGGACATGTACCTATACATATATATGTTTATGTATATAAAGAGGGTTGGCAAAGAGAGAACGTTAACCACAATGGTGATTTTTTATTGGCAATATTTACTCTACATATTGCGTATTTTCTATTTTATAGTGTCAGGATGTAAGGATGAATAATGCTTTGATTATTTTTAAAGATAGAAATTGTTTTGTCTTGTTTATAGTCTCAGGACAACAGGCATATAATGGTGCTAAATACATGGTTCGATATAAGAATATTACTTTGATCAGTGTAATGCATTTTGTTGTTGATGAATGAACTAAGCGTAGGTGTAGGTAAAAAAAAGAGAGTTAGTAAGATAAGCATTTATTGATGGTCTTAAAAGATGTATTTGTATATAGATCTTTTCTTCTTTGTTGTTGGTCAAATTATGTGTTAAACTGAGAGATGAAATACAGTAACAAATTCTGTCAAATATTTTTCGATTTTTTGTTCTTTTGATTCGTAACTAACAATAGTTGTAGGTTAAATATCATTAGGCATATGTATATACAATATATGTCAATTACTGAGTCATATTTAGTGTAAAAGATGACACAAACCGGTTTCGATTCATGTCATTAACACCATAAATCAGTACACTGAGAAAAGAATTGAAAAAGGTAAGAAGTATAAAGAAGGAGGAATAACATCGAACATAATAGAAAGCTATATGTGTTATGGATATTCGTACAAGAAGAAGAATCGAAAAGTATGTCAATAGTGTAAATCAAGAAGGTGATATAGAATGCTGATAATTGCAGCCGAATACTGAATATATCAGTTAATATCTTTAAGCATAAATTGCAAGCATTAAATTCCTCACCTTTTCAACCTTGTTAGGGTAAGTAGTAGCTGGGCATGTATAATACATTTCAAAGGTGTTTACAAAGCTTATCCATCCATAATCT